ACTGTGTAGAAGTTTTCTTAAATCAAAGCTTCATAAACCTCATCTCTCTGAAGAGAGCCATTATCAGGTCATCAGGAATTGATAAAGCCCGCGCCTTACTGTGTAGAGCTCTATCATGAGACGATAAAAAGCTTATCCCTTTATGTGGAGCTTTATTAAATCATCAATATTTGATAAAGGTTATTATCAACGTGCAAAACGTAGTCCCAGTAAAAGCTTAGTCTGCACATAGTGGCGGCTGTGAAAATTCTATTAAAATTTGTGAATCAAAGAAAATTCTGAAGAATTTTGTAGTGAGTTTGTTCTATTGACCTTGACCAGTTTAGTGAGGTAATTCTTTGAGAGTTAAGCTCGTCTCACCAGAAGCTCTTACTTCAATAGAATTAGCAGACCCAGCTGCAAAAGTTGGAGCAGCAGGAACAACCACTATTGCTTGCAGCAGAAGTAGCAATTGCGGCTTCTGAAAATGAAGCAGCAGGTTCAGGCGCTCAACCCTCGCTACAGGTTTAGTGTTTTCAAATGAGTATGACGAATCAGCAGAACTGATCATGCACTGCTGCTCGTGTGATCATGTACTGCTGCTCGTGTGATCATGTACTGCTGCTCGTGTGATCATGTACTGCTGCTCGTGTGATCATGTACTGCTGCTCGAGTGATGTAATGCCACCCCTACTTCCAGTTCTGGATATTTTCTCACTGAGCCGCAACTAGCAGCATGCATCTAGTGATCTTGGCCAGTCCAGAATGTAACAAAGAAATTAATAATGCAATTTTCTCTGGTCGTAAAGTGTATGTATAGTGCTGTATGAGTGTGTGTGTGTGTGTGTGTGTGTGTGTTGTGTGTGTGTGTGTGTGTGTGTGTTGTGTGTGTGTGTGTGTGTGTGTTGTGTGTGTTGTTGTGTGTGTGTTGTGTGTGTGTGGTGTGTGTGTGTGTGTTTGTGTGTGGTGTGTGTGTGTATGTGTGTATGTGTGTGGTGTGTATGTGTACTCACCTAGTTGTACTCACCTAGTTTGGGGGGGGGTCGAGCCCGAGCCCCTGGCCCGCCTCTTCACTGATCGTACTAGGTCACTCTCCCTGACCCGTGAGCTTTATCATACCTTTTGCTTAAGCTATGTATGGATCCTGCCTCCACTACATCGCTTCCCAAACTATTCCACTTTACTGACTACTCTTTTGGCTGAAGAAATACTTCCTAACATCCCTGTGATTCATCTGTGTCTTCAACTTCCAACTGTGTCCCCTTGTTACTGTGTCCAATCTCTGGAACACCCTTTGTCTTTGTCCACCTTGTCAATTCCTCTCAGTATTTTGTATGTCGTTATCATGTCCCCCCTATCTCTCCTGTCCTCCAGTTTCGTCAGGTTGATTTCCCTTAATCCTTCCTCGTAGGACATACCTCTTAGCTTGGGACTAGTCTTGTTGCAAACCTTTGCACTTTCTCTAGTTTCTTTACGTGCTTGGCTAGGTGTGGGTTCCAAACTGGTGCGAAATACTCCAATATGGGCCTAACGTACACGGTTGTACAGGGCCCTGAATGATTCCTTATTAAGATGTGGGAAATGCTGTTCTGGGTTTGCTAGGCGCCCATATGCTGCAGCAGTTATTTGGTTGATGTGCGCTTCAGGAGATGTGCCTGGTGTTATATCACCCCAAGATCTTTTTCCTTGAGTGAGGTTTGTTGTCTCTGGCCCCCTGACTGTACTCCGTCTGCGGTCTTCTTTGCCCTTCCCAATCTTCATGACTTTGCACTTGGTGGGATTGAACTCCAGGAGCCAATTGCTGGCCAGGTCTGCAGCCTTCCAGATCCCTTTTTTAGTTCTGCCTGGTCTTCGATCGAGTGAATTCTTCTCATCAACTTCACGTCATCTGCAAACAGGGACACCTCAGAGTCTATTCCCTTTCCCCCATGTCGTTCACAAAAACCAGAAAAAAGCATGGTCTAGGACTGACCCCCTTTTGGACCCGCTGGTCACAGGTGCCCACTCTGGGCACCTCGCCACGTACCATGACTCGCTGCTGTCTTCTGACAAGTATTCCTGATCCATTGTAGTGCCTTCCCTGTTATCCCTGCTTGGTCCTCCAGTTTTTGCAATAATCTCTTGTGTGGAACTGTGTCAAACGCCTTCTTGCAGTCCAAGAATATGCAATCCACCCACCCCTCTCTCTCTTGTCTTACTGCTGTCACCATGTCATAGAACTCCAGTAGGTTTGTGACACAGGATTTCCCGTCCTGAAACCATGTTGGCTGCTGTTGATGAGATCATTCCTTTCTAGGTGTTTCACCACTCTTCTCCTGATAATCTTCTCCAAGATTTTGCATACTATACATGTCAGTGACACTGGTCTGTAGTTTAATGCGTCATGTCTGTCTCCTTTTTTAAAGATTGGGACTACATTTGCTGTCTTCCATGCCTCAGGCAATCTCCCTGTTTAGTAGATGTATTGATATTGTTGTTAAGGGTACACATAGCGCCTCTGCTCCTCTCTCAATACCCATGGGGAGATGTTATCTGGCCCCATTGCCTTTGAGGTATCTAGCTCACTCAGAAGCCTCTTCACTTCTTCCTCGGTTGTGTGCACTGTGTCCAGCACATGGTGGTGTGCCCTACCTCTCCGTCTTTCTGGAGCCCCTTCTGTCTCCTCTGTCAACACTTCTTTGAATCTCTTGTTGAGTTCCTCACATACTTCACGGTCATTTCTTGTTGTCTCTCCTCCTTCCTTCCTTAGCCTGATTACCTGGTCCTTGACTGTTGTTTTCCTCCTGATGTGGCTGTACAACAGTTTCGGGTCAGATTTGGCTTTCGCTGCTATGTCATTTTCATATTGTCTTTGGGCCTCCCTTCTTATCTGTGCATATTCGTTTTTGGCTCTACGACTGCTCTCCTTATTCTCCTGGGTCCTTTGCCTTCTATATTTCTTCCATTCCCTAGCACACTTGTTTTTTGCCTTCCTGCACCGTTGAGTAAACCATGGGCTCATCCTGGCTTTTTCATTATTCCTGTTACCCTTGGGTACAAACCTCTCCTCAGCCTCCTTGCATTTTGTTGCTTCATATTCCATCATCTCATTAACTGGCTTCCCTGCCAGTTCTCTGTCCCACTGAACCCCGTTCAGGAAGTTTCTCATTCCTGTGTAGTCCCCTTTCTTGTAGTTTGGCTTCATTCGTCCTCGCCTTCCTGCTTCTCCCTCCACTTGTAGCTCTACTGTGTATTCGAAGCTTAAAACCACATGGTCATTAGCCCCAAGGGGCCTTTCATATGTGATGTCCTCGATATCTGCACTACTCAAGGTGAATACTAAGTCCAGCCTTGCTGGTTCATCCTCTCCTCTCTCTCTTGTAGTGTCCCTTACGTGTTGGTACATGAAGTTTTCCAGTACCACCTCCATCATCTTAGCCCTCCATGTATCTTGGCCCCCATGCGGGTCCAAATTCTCCCGATCGATCTCCTTGTGGTTAAAGTCACCCATGATCAGGAGCTTTGCCCTGCATGCATGAGCTCTTCTGGCCACTGTAGCCAGTGTGTCAACCATCGCTCTATTGCTCTCGTCGTACTCTTGCCTTGGCCTCCTGCTGTTCTGTGGTGGGTTATACATCACTGCTATTACCACCTTGGGACCTCCAGAGTGAAGCGTTCCCGCTATGTAATCACTTTCTTCTCCGCTGTCTCCTCTCTCCAGCTCATCAAAATTCCAGCGATTTTTGATCAGCAATGCCACTCCTCCATCCCCCCTGTTCCCTCTGTCTTTCCTCAGGATTTGGTATCCCGTTGGAAAGATGGCATCTGTTATCATACCTGTAAGCTTGGTTTCTGTGAGAGCTATGATGTCCGGTGATGCCTCTTTGACTCTTTCATGTCACTACTCCCACTTATTTGTTATTCCATCAGCGTTTGTGTACCATACCTTCAGTTTCCTTTCCAACACTGTGGTTTGGGGGGGCTGTGAGGGTGGGAGACCTGGTAGCATACTGTGGGATTCTATGGTTGGGGGTTGGGTGGAAGCTGTGGGTATGGATTGTAGTGTGTTGGGATGGCATTGTGATAGGTTGGTATGTTCTGAGAATAGTTGTGTGTGTGCTTGCCCTTGCTGTTCTGTTCTGCTTGACTGACCTATGCTGGCTCATCTTCTGTGTGTGGGTGATGTGTGTGTGTGTGGTGTGCTGTGTGTCGTGTGTTGTGTGTGTGTTGTGTGGGTGTGTGTGTGTGTGTGTGTGGTTGTGTGTTGGTGTTGTGAGAATGTGTGTGTGTGTGTGTGTGTGTGGTGTTTGTGTGTGTGTGTGGTGTTGTTGTGTGGTATGTGTGTGTGTGTGTTGTGTGTGTGTGTGTGTGTGTGGTGCTGTGTGTGTGTGTGTGTTGTGTGTGTGTGATTATGTGTGGTGTGAGTGTGTTGTGTTGTGTGTGTGTGTGTGTGTGTGTGTGTGTGTGTGTGTCTGTGTTGTGTGTGTGTGTGTGGTGTGTGTGTGTGTTGTGGTTGTGTGTCCTGTGTGTGTGTGTGGTGTGTGTGTGTGTGGGGTGTGTGTTGTCGTTCTGTTCGTGTGTGTGTGTGTTTGCAATCCTGGCCACATAAACAGTCTGTATATCTCTCTCGCTCCTCCTAACTAGATATTTCCATTAGGTCTCCTCAAAGGGAAATCCCTTGATGCGGAGATAGGTTCTTGATCCACCGAAATGGACGAGAGCTCCCCCTTCCTTGACTCAAACCTGATTTGCGCTTACATCCTCCCCCGAGTCTGTATGTCCCCCTTACTACTTTTACCGCTTTCCCTTGATTTTCTAACATACAAGGTCGGTTCTCAAGTTCCGGATACTAGCCAGTTTAAGGGCTGGGCCAGGAAGGGGTAGGGAAGTCCTGTAGCTTTGGGTATTGGGAGGTAATGTGGTTTCAGGGAGATACCCTTCACTAGTCTCCAAGCACCCCATTACCACCTTAGATGGGAGGATTATGGGTGATATAAATTCATGGAAAAAAGTACTGGATATATAGAGAACTCAGAACTTACCGAGGTTTGGTGAGGGTCGGCGCCCCCTGGTAGGTTGCCGTAGCCCATGTGATTACAGGTGCAGCGGCAGGTGCGCAGGTGTTTCTTGCAGCTAGGGGGAGGGGGGGAGGGGGGGGGGGAGGCTGGAGGGGCTCCAAGGGTCCCAGACCTGTCCTCTAACACACCACCACACCAGCCTCCAGCCAAGCTGATGGGTGGAGCCCCGAAACCTCTCCTCGCCCGGTCGCTCCACGAGGGCACCCCACGCCGGGGCGGGTATGGTGGGCGTCGTTAGCGCATGCACACGTCGACGCTTTGTGGTTGGGCGGCCTGCAGGGCGGGCGCTGTCTGGGCGGGCAGTAGGTGGCGGGCGGCCAGCGGCGGAGCCCTTCGTAGGCAGGTGGGTGGTGGTGGTGGGGTGGGCGGTGTGGTGAAACCTCTCAGTTCATACAGTATACTATTACTGCGTCTCTGCCCGCTCCTTCTGCTGGGTTACCAGACCTCCTACACCCCCGACCAGGGCCGCCAACTCCCTCGCCCACCCCATCAACACGCCGCACCCCAGCCTCACCACCCCTACTATAACAGCATTTCGAGTGCTGGAGTTCCTCTACCACTTCCCCCCCTTTGTTTTGAAAGAGGGAACTAACTGAATAACTGAAATAACTGAAATAACTGAAAATAAATGAAAGAACTGAGGATAATCTTTTATCCAATAACTAACGGACACTGGTCATAACAGTACGTGGCAGACACTGCTCATAACAGTACGTGGCAGACACTGCTCATAACAGTACGTGGCAGACACTGCTCATAACAGTACGTGGCAGACACTGCTCATAACAGTACGTGGCAGACACTGCTTCTTACAGTACGTGGCAGACACTGCTCATACTGTTCGTGGGCAGACACATGCTCATACAGACGTGGCGACACTGCTCATAACAAGTTACGTGGCTGACACTGCTCATAACAGTATTTCTTTTTTTTTTACGTGGCAGGACCTGCTCATAACGTACGTGGCTGGGGACACTGATTCTAACAGTCGTGGCACAGACTCTGCTCATAACAGTACGTGGCAGACACTGCTCATAACAGTACGTGGCAGACACTGCTCATAACAGTACGTGGGAGACACTGCTCATAACAGTAGTGGCGGACACTGCTCTAATCAGTACGTGGCAAGACATGCTCATAACAGTACGTGGCAGACACTGCTCCATAACAGTACGTGGCAGTCACTGCTCAATCAGACGTGGCAGACACTGCATCATAACAGTACGTGGAGACCACTGCTCCATAACAAGTACGTGGCTGACACTGCTCTGAACAGTACGTGGCAGACACTGCTCATAACAGTACGTGGCTGACAACTGCTTCTTAACATCCGTGGCAGTCATTGGCTCATACAGTACGTGGCAGGACATGATCATAAACAGTCGTGGCAGACACTGCTCATAACAGTACGTGGCAGACACTGTCCAAAATACAGTACGTGGCAGACAACTGTCATAACAGTACGTGGCAGACAACTGCTTCCAGAACAGTACGTGGCAGACCACTGCTCGTAAAACAGTACGTGGGCAAGGACACTGCTTAACAGTACGTGGCAGACATGCTCATTAAAGTACGTGGCAGACACTGCTCGTAAACAGTACGTGGCAGACATGCTATAAACAGTTACGTGGCAGACACTGCCTCCATAAACAGTAGTGGCAGAACTGCTCGAACAGTACGTGGCAGACACTGCTCATAACAGTACGTGGCAGACACTGCTCATAACAGTACGTGGCAGACACTGCTCGTAACAGTACGTGGCAGACACTGCTCATAACAGTACGTGGCAGACACTGCTCGTAACAGTACGTGGCAGACACTGCTCATAACAGTACGTGGCAGACACTGCTCGTAACAGTACGTGGCAGACACTGCTCCATAACAGTCGTGGCGGACACTGCTCGTAAACAGTACGTGGCAGACACTGCCTCAAAACAGTAACGTGGCAGACACTGCTCATAACAGTACGTGGGAGACACTGCTCATAACAGTACGTGGCAGACACTGCTCATAACAGTACGTGGCAGACACTGCTCATAACAGTACGTGGGAGACACTGCTCATAACAGTACGTGGCAGACACTGCTCATAACAGTACGTGGCAGACACTGCTCATAACAGTACGTGGCAGACACTGCTCGTAACAGTACGTGGACGACACTGTCATAACAGTACTCGGCAGGACACTGCTCGTAACAGTACGTTGGGAGGACATTGTCATAACAGTACGTGGCAGAAACGGCTCGGTAACAGTACGTGGGAGGACCTGCTCATAACAGTTAAGTGGCAGACACTGCTCATAACAGTTCGTGGCAGACACTGCTCTAACAGTAGTGGCAGACTGCTCATAACAGTACGTGGCAGACACTGCTCATAACAGTACGTGGCAGACACTGCTCATAACAGTACGTGGCAGACACTGCTCATAACAGTACGTGGCAGGACACTGCTCATAACTGTTACGTTGCCGACACTGCTTATAAACAGAACGTGGCAGACACTGCTAGTAACAGTACGTGGCAGACACTGATCATAACAGTACGTGGCGAGCCTCTGCTCATTAACAGTACGTGGCAGGACAACTGCTCCAATAACAGTACGTGGCAGACACTGTCATAACGTACGTGGCAGACACTGCTCATAACAGTACGTGGCAGACACTGCTCATAAACAGTACTGGCAGAACATGCTCATACGTACGTGGCGGACACGTCATAACAGTACGTGGGAGACACTGCTATAACAGTACGTGGGCAGACATGCTTCATAAACAGTACGTGGGAGACACTGCTCATTACAGTAGTGGGAGGACTCTGCTCATAAACAGTACGTGGGGAGGACACTGCTCATTACATTACGTGCAGGACCTGCCTCATAACAGTACGTGGCAGACACTGCTCTTAACAGTACGTGGCAGACTACTGCTCGTAAAATGTACGTGGCAGGGACACTGTCATAACAGTACGTGGGCCAGACACTGTCTAACAGTACGGGCAGACACTGCTCATATCAGTACGTGGCAGGACACGCTTCATAACAGTACGTGGGAGGACACTGCTCATTACAGTACGTGACGAGCACTGCTCATAACCCCCCCCCCAGGTATTTTAAACGTGGGAGACATGCTCATAACAGTACGTGGCAGACACTGCTCATAACAGTACGTGGCAGACACTGCTCATAACAGTACGTGGCAGACACTGCTCGTAACAGTACGTGGCAGACACTGCTCATAACAGTACGTGGCAGACACTGCTCATAACAGTACGTGGCAGACACTGATTATGACAGTACGTGGCAGACGATGCTCATAAACAAGTACGTGGCAGACACTGCTCATAACAGTACGTGGCAGACACTGCTCATAACAGTACGTGGCAGACACTGCTCGTAACAGTACGTGGCAGACACTGCTCATAACAGTACGTGGCAGACACTGCTCATAACAGTACGTGGCAGACACTGCTCATAACAGTACGTGGCAGACACTGCTCATAACAGTACGTGGCAGACACTGCTCGTAACAGTACGTGGCAGACACTGCTCATAACAGTACGTGGCAGACACTGCTCATAACAGTACGTGGCAGACACTGCTCATAACAGTACGTGGCAGACACTGCTCATAACAGTACGTGGCAGACACTGCTCATAACAGTTTACGGGCAGACACTGACTCATAACAGTACGTGGCAGACACTGCTCATACAGTACGTGGCCAGACACTGCTCGTATATCTGTACGTGGCAGAACACTGCTTATAACAGTACGTGGCGACATGCTCATAACAGTTCGTGGCAGACATCTGCTCGAACAGTACGTGGCACAGACACTGCCTCATAAACTGTAAGTGGGCAGACCACTGCTCATAACTGTTACGTGGCTGACACGCTCATTAACAGTACGTTGGCAGACACTGGCTCTATTACAGTACGGGCAGACACTGCTCATAACAGTACGTGGCAGTCACTGCTCATAACAGTACGTGGCAGGGGACACTGCCATAACAGTACGGGCAGACACTGGCTCATAACAGTACCGTGCAGTCACTGCACTCATAAAACAGTACGTGGCCGACACTGCTCATAACAGTTTGTGGCAGACACTGCTCTTAACTGTACGTGGCAGACACTGTCATAAACAGTACGTGGCAGGACCACTGCTCGTACAGTACGTGGCAGACACTGCTCATAACAGTACGTGGCAGACACTGCTCATAACAGTACGTGGCAGACACTGCTCATAACAGTACGTGGCAGACACTGCTCATAACAGTACGTGGCAGACACTGCTCATAACAGTACGTGGCAGACACTGCTCATATAAACCGTAACGTGACAGACACTGCTCATAACAGTAGTGGCAGACATGCTCATAACAGTACGTGGCAGACACTGTTTGTAACAGTACGTGGCAGACACTGCTCGTAACAGTACGTGGCAGACACTGCTCGTAACAGTACGTGGCAGACACTGCTCGTACAGTACGTGGCAGACATGCTATAAACAGTACGTGGCAGACCTGACACTTGCTCGAACAGTTCGTGGCAAGCACATGCTCATAACAAGTTAGTGGCAGAATGCTCATAACAGTACGTGGCGACACTGCTCTACAGGTACGTGCAGACATGCTCATAACAGTACGTGGCGGACATGCTCTCATAAACAGTACGTGGCAGACACTGCTTCAATAACGTACGCGGCAGACACTGCTCAGTTACAGTACGTGGCAGGACACTGCTTCGTAAACAGTAACGTGGCAGACACTGCTAATATACAGTACGTGGCAGACATGCCTCGTAACAGTACGTGCAGACACTGCTCGGAACAGTACGTGGCAGGACAATGCTATAACAGTACGTGGCAGACACTGCTCGTAACAGTTACGTGGCAGACACTGTACTCGTATACAGTAGTGGCAGTCACTGCTCATAACAGTACGTGGCAAGACAATGCTCCATAACAGTACGTGGCAGGTATGTCATAACAGTTCGTGCAGACACTGCTCATATACAGTACGTGGCAGACACTGCTCATTAACAG